TCTCTGGCCTTAGACTCCTCAACAGATAAATGAGAGGAAGAGAGAACCTAGACAATCTCTAAGGTGTATTCGAAGCTAATCTGCAGGACTCTCTCAACCTAGAAGGAAACCACTGGGGTGGGGAAGATTCTGAGGCCTGTGCTCCCCTCCCAGAAGGTCCTAAAAAGCAATCCAGGGCCACCCAGCGTGCTCATGTGCCCACGCTTGCCTCTCCCTGCTGCTCCCACTCTCTCTGGCTCTAGCTGCAAATTGGTTCACATGATGAGTGCAAGCTGCCTGAATCACTCATCGGATGGCTTGAGAAAAAGCAATTAAATGCTTTCTTAATTGTAGGATGGCAAGAGGTTAATGAGTTACTATAAAAACCAGTCCCTACCATCTGGTGGCTGTCACCAAAGCCCGCATGCAGGGAGAGATCCCAATTTGTAAGACAGAACGACAGGATCACTGCAAGTCAAGAGAAGGGATGCAGGCACGAGGGGCTGAGGCTGGGGGCCCCGAGCTCCAGAACCCAGTTAGCATGTCCCCGCCAGTCCCCAGACGTCGCCTAGCTGCAAGGCGGCTCAAAACCAAGGTACAGGGAAACACAGACAGGGAGCCAGCTATTCATCAGTTCAGACCCTGTTTTTCTCTAAGATCCTGCTTTTGCAAGGGATAGCCCTGACAGCCACTTTGCTCAGCAGGAGCCAGGAGGAGAAGAGAGAAAAGTGGCAGACTGAGGGAGAAGCCGGCCAAGCTGAGAGAGGGACAGACAGAGGCAGGGACAGGCAGAGCTCACAAAGACAAAAGACAAAACAGGCAGAGAGACAAACAGAAAGGACGAAAATGGAAATGCTCAGACATGAAAACAGACAGTGACATAGGCAGGTTGTGAGCTTGCAAAGCAGATGAAAGGACAGGTCATTTTCTAGAATCAGGAAAAAACTTCTGAGGGCTTTGCTTTTTCTGTGCAAACGTGCCTTCGATATTCCTCAGCCCTCTGTGTCATCAAGAGAAATGGTCCTTCTCCCTTGGTGGGCATGAAGAGGAAACAGAGAGGTCAGCCCCTGCTCTGCACACAACCTCCATAAGCACACATACACACAACACATGCATGTACACTTACATATGCATGCACGCCAGCACCACACACAACACACATACATACCACACACACATATGCAACACACACATGCATGCACAGGCACACACATGCATAGCACACGTACCACACAACACACACACAGACACACATGCACACAAGCACACATGTATACATAGACACACACAGCACACATACCATACACATGCACACACAGACACATGCATACACAGATACATACACAGCACACATACCACACACAACACACACATGCACACACAGACACACATGCATACACACATACACAGCACATGTACCACACACAACACACACGTGCATGCACAGACATGCATGCACACAGATTCACATGCATACACAGACATACACACAGCACACATACCACACACGACACACACATGCACACACACACAGAGCACACACAACACACACAGACACACATCCACGGATACACATCACACACATACACACGCCACACAACATACCCATATATACACAGACACATGCACATACACAGAAATAAACACACAAAAAGGCATACATATGCACACATCCATATATGCACAAACGCACACAGACACACTCTGAAAAGATCTCACTTCCTGCTAAGATCCCTGAAACAACCTCTTTCTCACCCAACCCCAAACACAAGCAGTTCTCACCAGCCATGGTAGAATCATATGTACAGAAAGCCCCATGCCATGCGCCATTTCTCCCTTGGCCCCAGTCCCCAAGGCCCACCTTCACTCCTAAGTCTGGCGGAGGCAGGGCTGGGTCTCTGGACAAAAAGAAAGGAGCCAGAAAGTCCACACATTCCAGGGGCCCCGCAAGCTAGGACTCTATGTGGCTAATCCCTGCTGGCCTCTCTGCCATCTTCCAGGAAGCGGCTAGGAAATGCAGAGGTCATCCCTCACCTGCTGTGCCAGGGTCTGGCTGTGCGTTTCTTCCGGGATGGGATGAGGCCTCGATGTCCTTGCTTCCCAAGACTCTGGAAGCCTCCTCCCCTGCCTCTCCCCCACTGGCTCTAACTGGCCCCAGCAACAATACAACAGGCTGTGGCTCACAGTGAGAGGGCGGGGCCCCTCTTTCTACATTACTTTCCCCCTTGGAGGATAAATGGGAGCTTGCTCCTGCTAGGTCTCATTTTTTTTTTTTTTTTAATCTATGGCCCAGAGTGAACAAACAAACAAAAAACAGGGATCTACAGCTGGAAGATTCCAATCTCTCCATTTCCCACATTATCTTGAGTCTTCAATTGTCCTTCTCCTCCCTCCTCCTGCCGTCCATCTGGCCAACTCCCTTCTCAGAAGACTGCCCCGTGGAACTGGAGAGAGAAGTTGTACCAGTAATCCATTCATTTTACTACAGGTTAGAAATTCCTCTAAAATCTGCATGAGAACTTAGGAACAGGGTTGCTGGTATTGCGGAATAAAATGAGAGTTTGAAATTCCTGATCTGCACTCTGTGTTCAACCAGCGTAAGAGCTGACCCTAAGTATCTCTTATTTCCAACAGTAAACCAGAATCCCAGGGCTGTGGTGAGCTGGCCTCACCTATCCGGAATCCAGCTGGGTTCTCTGGGGACTCATGTCACCTCTCAGCCTCCCAGAAGAGGTATGCCAGTTCTTTGAAAAGCTGCCTGATTCTGGTATCGGCAGCAGCCAGGGTCCAGCAGCTGCACAGCAGCAGTGCCAGTGGGCGGCATCCAGGACGCAGCAGGGTGCCAGCAACGGTGTCCTCACTGGCCTGTTCTGGGATACGATTCTGCCTTTTGTTCCTGTACTTTTGAAGGCCTGAGTGCTCCTCTTTCTGGTGATTCTGTGAGCCACTCAATAGCTTTTCTGCTTCAAAACAAAAAGAGCCAGCATGCATACACATGCACCCATGCCAAGAGCAAGAGAGACAGGGACTAGGGGAGAGGGAGAAGTTGAGAGGAGAGATGGAGAGAGGCAGAGAGACAGAAACAAATGGAGAGAGACAGAGACAGATGGAGAGAGAGAGATAGAAACAGAGGGAGAGAGATAGAGACAGAGTCCAGTGGGTGAAGAGAGATGGGGAGAGACAAGAAAGAGGCAGAGACTGAGAGAATAAGACTCTAGTTCTTAGAACTCAGTCATTAAGTCATGGGCACTGGTCTCAACCCCTCATCTGCTTCCTCTGGACTGAGCCTCCTCTCCCAGCCACACTCCTTGGAGGCCCCACCAGGTCTGACCCCCAGTTTTGTTCCCTGGGTTTACATCTCACTTCTCAGGCTGGAACGAATACCAATACTCCCTGTTACTTTACTGGCCACCCTCCTGCTGCTGCCCCATACCTCCCCTGACAAAGCATGCCTGTGTATACATACACACCACAGCACACACAACTCATACACACCCACCACAGCACACACAAAACAGCTCACACACATATCACAGCACACACAACTCACATACACACCACAGCACACACACAACTCACACACACACCACAGCACACACAACTCACATACACACCACAGCACACACACAACTCACACACACACCACAGCACACACAACTCACATACACACCACAGCACACACACAACTCACACACACACCACAGCACACACAACTCACATACACACCACAGCACACACACACTATAGCACACAAACAACAGCTCACATACTACAGCACACACACAACTCACATACACACCACAGCACACACACAACAGCTCACACACACACCACAGCACACCACAGCACACACAACTCACACACAACAGCTCACACATGCACCACAGCACACACAACTCACATACACACCACAGCACACACACAACTCACATACACACCACAGCACACACAACTCATACACACCCACCACAGCACACACAAAACAGCTCACACACATATCACAGCATACACAACTCACATACACACCACAGCACACACACAACTCACACACACACCACAGCACACACACAACTCACACACACACCACAGCACACACAACTCACATACACACCACAGCACACACACACACTATAGCACACACACAACAGCTCACATACCACAGCACACACACAACTCACATACACACCACAGCACATACACAACAGCTCACACACACACAAACCACAGCACACCACAGCACACACAACTCACATACACACCGCAGCACACACACAACAGCTCACACCACTGCACACCACAGCACACACAACTCACACACCATAGGACACACACAACAGCTCACACACACCACAGCACACCACAGCACACACAACTCACACACAACAGCTCACTCACACACCACAACACACCACAGCACACACACAACAGCTCACACACACACCACAACACACCATAGCACACACACAACAGCTCACACACACCACAGCACACACAACTCACATACACACCACAGCACACACGCAACAGCTCACACACACACCACAGCACATCACAGCACACACAACTCACATACACACCACAGCACACACACAACAGCTCACACACACGCACCACAGCACACACACACACCACAGCACAGCACACACATACCACAGCACACACACCACAGCACACACACTACAAAAAACACACAACAGCCACACACCACAGCACACACACACCATAGCACACACACAACAGCTCACATACACCACAGCACACACATACCACAGCACACACACTACAAAAAACACACAACAGCCACACACCACAGCACACACACACCATAGCACACACACAACCACACACACAACAGTTCATATACACAACAGTACATATATACCCCACAGCTCACACACACCACCTCACACATCACAAAGCACACACACACACCCCACAACACACACACCGCAGCACATACACTACAACACAAATACACACCACAGCACACACACACCCCTCGCCCCCCGACGCATACACACTCTTATTTTTGCTCCGGTTCCATCTGGAATTTTCTGGAAGTCATGGCTGGAAGTTAACATGATCCACCCTCGAGTCCCTGCTGCCTGTGCTCCATCCTCCACAGCAAGTCTGCGGGTGCAGGAAAGGAGAGGCCACAGGGGTGTGGGCTGGAGACAGGAGGGGAGGGAGAGGAAGGCAGGCAGCAGTCCAAGCCTGAGCTGTCACATGAAGACAAATCAAATGCCACAGGACAGTTTACTCCCCAAGTTTAAACCATCGGAAATGAGCACCCCAAACATTGGACCCAAAGATTTTTCTCTCAGTTTTGAGGAGTAATTTCCACCCAGGTGTGGCGCATGCACAGCCAGGTGTCACTGCCAAGCCATTTGATGCCCCCAAGTTCCTTCTGAGGAACTACATGCCTTTCTTCTTTGGAGCAAGGTGGGTGCTGCTTTGTGAAGAAGGCAGCTCAGATGTCTCTTGGAATGAATACATCAGAGGAAAGAGTTCAGTTAGAGGGCTGATCCTGAACATTTCAGTGAATTTCAATAAGCCCAGCCCCGTGAGAAAACACTCAAACAGAACAAGCCACCCGAAGATGAGTCTAAAACAAAATATAAACAAATGCAAGATGCCGGGGAATATTCTGTGTACACCAGAGTCAGGCAGCTCAAGGTAAAAGGCAGCAGGCTGCCGAGAGGTGACGTTAAAATGCGTGTGTCCCCTAGACGCAGCTCCCTCAGTGACTTGCATGGGTGCCTGCTACCACACCTCTCACCCCCGGTCCTAAGCAGCCAACCACAAGTTCACACCAGTCAGATACCCAAGGCTGGCTGCTGTTGATGCGACTGCCTCTGACATCCCCCGGTGTGGCAAGTGAGTACCGGGACCCTGGAGTACAAAGGCTCAAGGTTTGAATCCTGTCACCATTTCCTGGGGACCTGCCTGCCTTCTCTGTGAGTCTACTTAAATGGGGATAGGAATCGTAACTCTCTCCATGTTCTTAAAGGGATTAGGTAAGTTGATCCGTATGAAGGTGTATCAGCCCAGGTTCAACCAAAGAAGCAGAACTAGTAGGAGATATAGATTAAGAGGTTTGTCTCAGGGGATTAGCTTCTGCAATGTGGGTCTGGCTAAGCAAGTCTGGAATCTGTAGGGCAACCCATGTGGAAGGGCAGGTTAGAACTTTCAGGCATGGGCCAAAGCACCATCCACAAGTAGAATTTCTTCTCCTTCATGGAAGCCTCGGTTCTGCTCTTAAGGCCTTTCCATTGATTGAATCAAGCCCACTCTGATTGTCTAGAATAATCCCTTTTACGTAAAGTCACTGATTTTGGACTTTAATGGCTTCTATAAAAGACCTTCCCAGCAACACCTAGATGAGTGTCTGAATAACTGGAACCATGGCCAGGGCAAGGTGACATGCAAGACTGACTGTCACAGAAGGATTAGCACAATGGCTGACTCATGGTAATTATTCACTCGATAAAGCTCAGCTGTGATGTTTTTAAAGCATTCACTGATGAAGTTAACAAAATACATCAAGCATTTCCCCTTTTGAGTTCTCATCTTACATGGCCAGGAGCACCCTCTTCCTCGCTTCCAAAATCTTCTTCCAAAGAAGGCCGAGGGTTCATCCCAAGGAGCCAAAAGGAAGATGATTTATTTTTCAGACATCCTCAGCACGATTTCCTGAACACACTGGGCTAGCATCAGGGTTGTAGATACGATGCAGGTCATGTTGGTCCCCACCCTCCAGGATCCTGGGTGCAGAGTGTCACTCTCCTCCTGTTCTCTTCCGTGACCACTTGCCTATGCTGGGCCCACTGCGGGACCCAGGGCCTCCTCCTACAGCTGTCCCACAAAGGCTCTGGACCAAAGGGGACAGGGAGGCAGAAATCCATCCCGTGCTCTGATTGGTGCACCTGCCAGGGGGCCATCTTTTCTCATCACTCAGAGGAGCCATGAAAGCTAGTGAGAGCCGGCGCACTACCTGCATGGCGTAGCTGAATTTCTACCCTGTCCTGACTCTGCTTGTCTTGGAGAAAGAGGATCCCTGCAATAATACAACTGCAGACCAACCTGAGACTGGTGAGAGCTAAAAGAGGCCCCCTCAAGCTTCACTCTAATCTCACCTCCAGGCTAAATGATGCTCCCACCAGTGCCATGACAGGTTGGCAATCACCATGGCAATGACTAGAAGAAGCCATAGAAAAGGAAGGCAGCACTTCGGCTCCAAGGAAGTTCACTACCCATTTCCAGAAAATACAGGAATATTCCTCCCCTGGCTTCTTTTCTCATTTATTTATTTGTTTGTTTATTTTGAGACTGAGTCTCGCTCTGTTGCCAGGCTGAAGTGCAGAGGTGCAATCTCTGCTCGCTGCAACCCCCACCTCCCGGGTTCAAGCGATTCTCTGGCCTCAGCCTCCCCAGTAGCTGGGATTACAGGCATGTGCCACCACGCCCAGCTAATTTTTGTATTTTTAGTCGAGACAGGGTTTCATCATGTCAGCCAGGATGGTCTCTTCTGGCTTTTAATGTCCAAGTCCTTCACGAGAAAAATCCTATATTCTCACCCCTTCACCCCTCACTTGTTGAGAAGCCGGTTTGTGAGCCAGGTTCCTGCTTCTCAAGTCCATGGCCCTTGAATCAGTCCTGCACTGCCTGACATTCACTTTCAGCTTTATGTATTGGCTTCATGACACCAAGCAGGGAAAGACCCCATCTTTTGGAGGACCAGCTTTGTCCCCTGGCAGCGCATATCACCACAGATCATTCTCCTACTGACAGAAGGTGGCTCCTCAGGAGGCCACATTCTCTTTAAAAGGGAACGTCCCATTTCCAGCCACAGGGCTCACATGTGATGCAATCAAGAGCAGCTCTCAGCCTCCCGAGGCAATTCTCACTTCTCATCTACAGGGCCTTCTCAGCACCCATCTCAGTGGCCACCGCCCTTCCTTGCTCATCCCCAGTTCCCTCATCCTACTTTTTTCCAAGTCTCAGAGAAGTGATGCTCTGCCCAGTTGCCACCGTCATCCCACACCTGCACCTGAGCATGAAGCTGGTCTGCTCACTGGCATGGGGACAGTACCCAATAACCTAGGATGAACCAGACCCTAGATCCATAATGAGCCTCCCAGTCTACCCTCATTCCATTCACATTTGCCCCTGATGAATCCATAAGGTCCCAGGAAGTCCCCCATGCCCTTTCTGGAAGCCCAACAGTCTCCCAAAGAGCCTGACTTGGGTTATGGCAAACCTGGGGGCCAGTCCCAGTTCTCCTAACTTACTGGTTATAGGAGTTTGGCTAAGTCCATTAACCCTTCTGAGCTTGAATTCCTCCTCTAAAAAATAAGGATGATCACTGGGTGCAGTGGCGCATGCCTGTAGTCCCAGCTACTCAGGAGGCTGAAATGGGAGGATTGTTTGAGCCCAGGAGTTCTGGGCTGTAGTGTGCTATGCCGATCGGGTGTCCGCACTAAGTTTGGCATCAGTGTGGTGACCTCCTGGGAGCAGGGGACCACCAGGTTGCCTAAGGAGGAGTGAACCGGCCCAGGTCAGAAATGGAGCAGGTCAAAACTCCCATGCTGATCAGTAGTGGGATCGCACCTGTGAATAGCCACTGCACTCCAGCCTGGGCAACATAGCGAGACCCCGTCTAAAAAAAAAAGGATGATCATAAAATTCACTCTAAGGAGTTTCCATGAGAAACAAGTAAAATATTGCGTAAGAACTGCCTGACAGTCAGGCGTGATAGTGCACGCCTGTCTTCTCAGCACTTTGAGAGACTGAGGCAGGAAGATCACCTGAGGTCAGGAGTTCAAGACCAGGCTGGCCAACATGGTGGAACCTCATCTCTACTAAAAACACAAAAAATAGCCAGGCCTGGTGGCACATGCGTATAGTCCCAACTACTCAGGAGGCTGAGGTGGAAGAATCACTAAAACCCAGGAGGCGGAGGTTAGAGTGAGCCGAGATCACATCACTGCACTCCAGCCTGGGCAACAGAGTAAGACTCCATCTCAAAAAAAAAAAAAAAGAGCTGCCTGACACATGGCATCCCGTCTACCTCTTGCCTGACCACCCTTCCTCCAGCCTTATCTCTATCAGGTATGTGAAACCCACACTGAACCCATCTGACTTCATGATACCCTAGCTCCAGCCAAGTTAACCTCCCCGCCACCATCGCTTCACCATGACATTGGTAAAAAGAACGTGTTCGGCTTGGCATCTGGTGGGTAAGGCTTCCAATAAGCAAAGCTCGAATTCAGTTAGGATCAAAGTGGGGAACGTGGAGTTTTATCACAGGAACTCGTTTCATGGGAGAATGAGCAGCAGGTGTTATCTCCCCCGCCCCACCCTTCTCCTGCCCCTAACAATATGGGGGTGGTGTAGAGGACCCCAATCTGTAGGGAACCCAAGCACGGGAGGAAGCACTTTGCCACCTGCCAAGCACCCTATCAATGTTCATCATGATTAGAACTTAATTCCTGCCAGCTCCTTGGAAATACAGCCCTCTAGGGAGGGTGGAGCTGGCTCTTCTCCCCTGGCCTCGGAGAAATCTGCTGTTCCCCAGAATCTAAGCACAGCAGCTAAAGAACTTCCAGATGTGGAACCATCAGGCCCCTCACCCTTCCGGCTATAGAAAAGGTCTAATCTGGGCAGGTTTAGAAATCTCAGCACTACTGAGGTCAGGGGCTAAATGATTGTGATGGGGGGACTTTGTGTGCATTGTTGGATGTTTAGCCAAATCCCTGACCTCTGCTCACTAGGGAGTAGCACTCATTCCCCAGTTGTGACAACCAAAAGCATCTCTAGACATTATCAAATGGGGGAGCAATCACCCCTGACTGAGAACCACCGGCCTAGGCCTGTCCAAGCTGCTTTACATGGCTTTCATGGTGGCCCCTGCCTTGCAGCTTCAGCGCTCACCTCTGTGGCCAGGTTGTGCCGAGGTGCTCTGGACTTCCAGTAGCTTGCACCCGATGGTCCACTGAGCCCCAAGCACCTGCCATGCGCGGAGCATCCCTCTGTGTCAGTAGATCTTGTGGCCACCAGCAAATGGACCAGGATCTCTACCCTGGATTAGCCACCTATGCCATCACCTGATCGAGTCAGGGCATTTCAATTGTAT